ATCGGCATCAGTTTCATGAATACCTGTCAGCAATTTTGTTGGATAAAACGATTCGTAAGATATTGTAGTCATTTTAAATTAACACTTCTGTATGATGAGTAATATTCACTGTCATCCTCTTACGAGATGTGAAGTGAACAAATCTACATAAATTTAATTTGGATGAGATTTAATGAATTTAAGAAAGTCCACCTCCATCTCCTCAAAATCGTGTAATCATTTCAAAAAAATTCTGCAGAAATGAAAAATCTTACATGAATCATGAGGTGATACTTTTGAAACCCTCTAACCAAAAAGGACATTGATTTAGACCAGTGTTGCCCAATCTTTTGGGCCCGCGGACCGGCAAATTTCCAAAAAACATTTTGCAGATCAAGAAATTTACAAAATATGCTCTGCGGACCGGCAAAGTTTCATAAAATGTATACAGACTTGAAAGTTGAAACAAAATTTGCTTGAAAGACTTTATGGCAGGTATTTAAAAGTTTCTGCTTTTTGCAAAAATTAAGTAAACCACCAATGAAGCAGCTATAGCTAAATTTCATTTAAAAAATTATGTGAAAGTGGGCTTCAAGAAAGGTTTCTCAGAATGAACTAATTTATTTCAGCGGTTGAAGATGTGTGAAGTGTTATTATGAGAAAATCCAACTTCTATTTTTCATAAGATAATTTTAAATGACGTTGTCTTTCCAAAGTTTCGGACTAAAATATTTAGAGAAAGATAACAGACTTCATTGCTACTTTTATTCAATATTTTATGCTGGAAATTTCCTGCGGACCAGCGCCGGTCCGCGGACCATGGGTTGGGGACTGCTGATTTAGACCGTTTTTTTCCGTATTCAAGACTTCAGAGAGAAATTTAAAAATTACATTCAAAACAAGGATTTGCTCCAGTTTATTTTTTGCAAGTTATTGAAGTCAATTGAAATTCCCCCATAATTGGCATTTATAAAGATGAACTTGGCATAAAATCCGATCGATTTTTGAATATAATTGAGCACTCTGACCGATTCTTTGAGGCATGACACATACTGTGTACAACTAGTTCTGTAATCAATTTTATAAATTCGATGAAGTAGGATTCACACCCAAAAATGGCGGGAATGGCATTGTGAAGTGCATTCGTGATACTTTTCTGTTCCCTTTTCAAATTTTTCTTAGAACATAACGCGAGTAATACAATTTATTCCATTGCTTATCATATGTGAAAGCACGAAAAAAGAAAGATTCCCAACTTAGGATCCAGAAAAGATCCTTCGCTAATTCTGGCCAGCATTTTCGTAAAATTTATGAGCATAGTCTAGTTTATTTATTTTTCGATAATTAGTTATTCTATAGCACCAGTGCATTGAATAGTTGTTTATGGTAGAGAGCTAGCATTTTTTTTTTTTGCTTTCGTTACGCTATTTTTTTTTCTTCTTCTAATTTTCCACGGGTTGCTGCGTGGGCGGAGACCCGAGTCTGGTTTTCGCAGGTTCGCTCAGCTTTCGACTGAAAATCGCCAGCTAAATGACAGGGTTCTGCTCTTCACATTCATCGTCCCGAGAACCGTACATACAATCACGACCTTTATTATTCCACTCTTCCCCTCTGCTCTGGTTGCCGTTAATTACAGGTAGAATACCAGAAAAACGAAAGATGGCTGCAACTACAGCGGCTACTCAAGGAATCAGTTAATTGCGGAATAATTACTCCTTGGAGTCCCAGCTTGGGGGTTTCGGAAGGATCTTAGCGTACTCGTTACTTTTAAATACACGCTGAGCTACTCTTATCATTTGTTATAGGGTTGTATTTAACCCTTTTATATCAAACTTCGAAACATGAGTTGATTTTTTTCCCGTTAATTACGTGAAATATCTGTAGAATGAAATCTCCAATGAAGGGTACTTATTTCAGATTTAGAAGGTTTACGTTTTAATTTATTTCATTTTGACGGAAAAAGCAGAATAAAAAAATATCCAGTGGAGGTCAAAAAAATGAAGGAAGTTCCGTTTGAACAGCAAATTAAACAAAAACCTCGGGCACGGATAGAATGTAAAAATGCCTTTTAAAGAAAAACCATAGGATCTACCCTTCTTTCTTTTTAAAGTTCTGGGCATCTTTTTTAAAAGAATTTTCTAATCTTTTGCTGTTTTAAGGCTTGAAATTGGCTTCTTTTCAAATTGTTTATGCATGGGCGCTTATTGATGTGTTCTAAAAAAGCAAAATGTTTGTGAATTTATCTCTTGTCAACCATGAGTGAAAAGTATAGCACTTGCGCATTTTCGAATAGTGATATTGATTCACTTAATTTCCCAAGCGGAATTTAAATCGATTCAAGAGGACTATATTGACACGAATCGCAGTTTTTTTCTGATGAATTTACTTAGCGGACACAGTTAACCAAATAAGTTTGACGTGGGTTCTCTGCTGAAAACAAGTAATGGCAGATCGTGATGACGTCTGATATTTCAGTCTTTATACCATATCGCTAGAAGAATCAACCTTGAACCATATCATCTGGGCTTTCTGTATAGATAAGGCCTGAAAAATTCCTTGTGTGCCAAAAAATAAAAATGAATCAGCGTCTGGCACATACGTGACGCAGCAGTTTTGTAATCAGAGCCATGCGGTGTTTGAACAGTGACGATGTGATGTACAGATGCAACTGCACACGAAAACAACAGTCAGCTGAGGTGCGTCATCCCGTATCCACATCCACTTTCTTCCGGATGAAAAGAAAAAGTAACTTCGTGTAAAAAAAAATTGTAAGAAGAAACATTTCTGTGAATTGAAATCTCTGAAAACTGAAGAAGTTCTGTAATTCAGAGTTTCATAAAAACCGGGCTTCAGGATGGTGTGCTGTTTATCCGTCACCGGGATTCTACTCGGAATTCTGGCCTTAGGACTCGCCCATTTTTGGTGAGCTATTCCTGTGCATTATTTTACACCTTTAATGAAGTGACGAATAAGTGTGAGCTAGGGATTAATGCGACATCTTGTGGATTATTTTGAAAAGGTTCTCGAGGCAAAAGAAATTCACCTACTGGGAAAAACGAGGCGTACAAACCCCTGGGAAACTGAATCTCTTATTCGGCTCTTTGTGGGGAGCGTGGTCAAAGGTGAAATACAATCTTATANCAGGTAAATCTCAAACTCTTGAACACATGAAAGAAATTTTTCAAAAAGTTACTCGAGGTTCATCGATTCTCGCATTGATTATCCCATTATAAATATTTCCGTAAGAATCATCCGTGATTTTCGAAATTCTAAATATACTTGCTCCAAAATTTGGGAACCCCTTATATCTGGAAGGTGGGTAAATATATTGAGATGTTCCTCAGCATATAGGTACACTATTCTTACATACAAAGGAAGTTTCCTGAGAAGTTTTGCCCTGACTTGCGGGTCTATAGGACAGCTGCTGGGTCAGGGTTGCGCGGGTTCCGGGAATTTCCGGCAGCCCTGGTTATATGAGCAGCCAGAGGCAGAGTTCTGATGTTGCCTCCCCCCCACTTGCTTCCCTCTTCCCGAACCCGTGTAATCCCCCCCCCCCCCCCAGGGTTAACCGACCCCCGCATTCCTCCCAAAAGCTTCCCCCCGGAAAGCTTGGAGGCAAGCTGGCCCCAGCATTTCCGGTGGCTTTCTCGAAGAAGGGAAAGAAGGAAAGACATATATTTCGCGAGACTCTCGGGAAGCAGCGGGATTTCCATCCGGTAGAGGCCCAGATTTTTTGTTTTCGTTATTCATCCTGATGAAAGATGCAGGGTTTCTCAACTCCCAAGCAAGAAAAAAAAATGTTTTGGTTATTGAATATTTTCGGCGAATTTTAAAACCTGAGACAGTCATCTTCGCAATTTTATTTTTGAGCTGATGCGTTTGCTTTTTTTTTAATGCATTTTTGTAATGCAGTAAGGTGAAAACTTTCCGTGGGTTGAAACATGCAGGTTCCTATAATGAGAAACTTTTATTCTTTATAAAATGCTGGCTATAGCTTTTCCAGAGTTTTCAGTTACGTGTCTTTCTTGACGAAGAAAAATTTTCCTGAGCCTCTAAATACAGCCGGAAACTCTGTCGGACCGGGGCTAAGATTATTTTTAAAAAGGCTTCCCAATGCCTCTTAAACCGTTATTCTCTTATTTTTGGTTCAGGCTGAGGCAAATATTGTCGAGAAAAATACGAGTACTTCTACAACTGGAATACCTGCGTTCTATTTTTTTGATTTTATGACCATACCATCGAGCAAAGGGACAAAGTACTGTACTGGACTATCTTTTCTCATGAACGATCAGCCATTGAGACCAACGTACGATTAAGTGCACCATGAATTTCACCGAAAACAATCCTAAAATTGCCCTTTAAAAAGACACATCTTTAAGATGACTAAGTCTATGATCCAGCACCTTCGATTTCCTCTTCCTTGGAAACTTTTGAGAAAAATTGCTGTTACAAGAAGTAAATGAGTTAACACTTCAGCAAATGGCATTCAGAAAATTTGGGATCAAAATTGGAATTCAGAAATTTTTGTAATGAAAAATTTGTTTCGCGTATGTGCATGAGACCAAAAAAGTTGCGAGGCAGTGAGTTTACACCACCTATTCCTTTGTGTGCCTCTTTTTGGCAGGTATTTTTGGAAAATATTGAAAGAATTGAAAAGGGAACTTCTTTCAGAGAAGAAATTGGTCTATATATAGGCATGTGGCTTCAGCCTCTCGTCATTCTGTCAATTAAAAAGTTCTTTATTTGGGTTATTGTTTCAGGTTTTTTTTCATTGCCAAGAAATGGAGTTTCCAATTTCAGGAAGAGTTAGAAATTATAACTGTTCCTCTAGGATCAGTAATGTATGGTGCATAATGATTTCCATGCCATCCAATATTTTCAAATCATACTATACTGAAGGTATTTTACTGTATTATTACCAGCTGAAACACACAGTTTCCACCCTATAGGAACATACTGCACATTGAAGTAATGCACAGGCCAATGCTTTAATTTCTCAAATGAATATTGACTGCATCTTTTATTTTTTCACACTTTTCAGGAGACAAATTTCATGGGTCCATTGGATCCCAGACAGAGGAATTGAATTGTGCAGCAATCAGAATGCAAGTTTTGAATAAGAACTCAAATTCTTTTCAGAGGAGTTTATTCTCATTGCCCAGTTCATCCATGGGCTGTTAACCCTTGTGCGGCAAAGTCGGACTTTTTCCGCAAAATTTTATGTCTGTCAGGACAGGTTTTTAAAAAAAGAGGAACAATTCACCCAGGGCAAAGTCGGGCAAAATCCTGATGTATTTTTTAAAATCCACAGAAAAACTTTGCCCAAAAATAAAAAAAATTCATCACCAAGGCTGAGCTTTTTTTTTAGCCTCTTGCAGGATTAGTTGCATTCTTCTGTGATTTGCAACCCTTTCATTCAGGGCGCCAGACAGAGGATTCTTATTCAGAGGCAGAAAAAGATTAGCGGAAAAAGTCCGACTTTGGGAAATATTAGCAGCACCATTTTGCCGGACAAAGTCCGACTTTGCCCTAGGCAACCTGGCTTGGCTTTTGTGGCCTTCAGGAAAAATGAAACGCGAGACCACCCGAGAAAATCCTGACTTTGCCGCGCAATGGAAAGGAACCCTTTGCTGTCCAAGGGTTAAAGAGGATCCGGACTCTAAAGGCTGTTTGCTGTGTCCAATTCTTTTACTCTCTTCTTTGTCGCATAATCGGCCCGACACACTCAATTTCTTCTTCTTGGCCAGTGTTATAAAACGCTTACACATTTATGTACAGTTAAATTGGATTCATATCGAATGAATTCATAGCCAAGCTTGATTACTTTCAAAATAAAATCAGGGTAGTTTTAGTGTATCACATTAACAGCATGACTAGTTCATTAAAAAAATAAGGAAATGAATTATCGCCGTCGAGCCAAAATTTGCAAAAAACAAATGAATGAAGATGAAGAACAAGAACAACAAGAGAGATAAAAATGTAAAGAATCGATTTTTATTCTCCATCAGTAAAGCTTGACAGCAGACCATCGGACTCAGCCAGTCAAAAGAAAAGAAAAAAGAAAGAAGAAAAAAACGCCTCATGTTCGAGTATCATTTTTTGAAACAACAGGCGTGATGGAAGTAGTCAAATTCAATGTCGGCTGCTTTTCACCACCATCACCGCCTTTAACAATAGTTCTAGAGTTAGACGACGTCGCCATGACAGGTGGTTCCATGCCCGTCATTGTCGAGTCCTCAGTGTGGGACAACAAGATGGCCGCGACTTTCTTCAACGCATTCGACGTGTCCTCCGAGTCTCGCTCTATGGACTCGATGCTCGCCGTCATGTTATCTAAAATTGCCATCCATGCGGCCCATGTCGAGGAACCAGACGAGAAAGGGTACTTGGGGTTCAAGTCCTTCCACTGCACAGTAACCAGCAATGGGTTCACGTATTCTTCGCGGTGTTTGTTTAAAAACGCGACGCCGATTAGAGCGAGAATCGCTGAGGCGCAGAGGATCACTTTGTTTTTCAACCGACTGAATGTAGGTATTTTCAGGTTCACAGACATTTTCTTCAGCAACCTGCGCAGAAACAGTTTAAAATTCGAATACCGTGGGTTCGCATGATTTAATGAAGGAATGGGGTACCAAAAACCTCGTAAAACTAAATTAAAGCAGCGAAAATCCGCACAACCAATTTCAACAACACAAATTGACACGCTAAACAAATATTTCTGCGTATCAAAACTTTCCTGACAAATATAATGCATCTTAAAAAGTTGGAAGTTGAAACTTCGGAATTCCTTAAAATTACTGTACTGTACGTGTGAAAGACGAAAGGAAAATGAAAGTTTTGCCTTTCCTAGCCCCAAAAATTCCTTAATTCAAAAGAGAGAGAGAGAGAGCTTAACATTGTCAGGATTACTCCGATTCTGTAAAAAAAAATTGTTAAACCCACAATTTATTTATAAATTGCTCGAATAACCAAATTTTGCAGGTCCATTAAGTATGTTTATATAGTGACCGCCTGGAACAGATCAACATTTTTGAATCATAACTCGAAGAAAATCATGTTTTGCACACAATTAAGATTTTGCGTAAAATCTAAATCATGCTGAAATGGGCTAGATTATTTATGCGATTATACCCAATGTACAAGGCGAAGGCGATTACTGTACTGCACTTCCTTCTCAAATTTGGCACTGCTATTCACATGTTTTTATACACCATACATTTCTATAAATTGAATAACTAGACACAAATAAATAAAAATAAACATGTTTCTCAACATGCAAACAATGGAATATATTCTTTAAAAAAAATCTAAACTCGTGATTTTCTGTCCCCTGATGGTTTTGCAAACTGATTGTTCAACGAAAATTTCGGATTCTGAATTAACATATGACCTAATCAACACAAAACTCAACCCAAACAATATTCCTATTAAATCTATCAAAGGAGTCTTGAGGCATATTAATTTGAACTAAATTTCATCCTAAGTTGTGCATTTTTACTATGTGAAGACCCATGATACACTGCGAAATTCAGCGCGTAAAACCTGCTTATTTAGCTTCTATACCCAACCTTATTCAACTCTTGAAGCCCGGCAATAATAATATTGCAATTAAACAAGTTATAATAGCATGAAAAACCTCTCTTCTAGGCCTCGGACGAAACCGTCAAAAGCAGAATGCGCTTTAAATTCACTGAAATAATCCGAATGCAAATTTTCGCAGGCTTTCTTCCTCGCTGGAAGACACAAACTGACAGGCACGCCCGTGGGGGGTCGCAAAGTGGCCCTGTGACCCGTCTATCCTCATCAATTATGCAACAAAAAAAACCTATCCCTGGATCCCCTACTGTTGTACACACGCATGGTTGCCATGACTGACCTTTGTTGCACTCAACCAAAATACCGCGGATCGAGCGGGAATTTTCTGAAGGATCCGCTGATAAACGTGGCAATCAAAGATTGACGACCGATTCAATCCGGAATTCGACCCAAACAATTCCGTATCAGTTAAAATAAAGCGTGACACGCAAAAATTCATTCACGATTAAACTTATGAAGGCTTTGAACAGTATCTGCTTTCGAACAATGATTATGTGAGGAAGATCAGTCGCGGAAGTTGGTCGAAATGTCATCCGTTCTGTAAATTATTTTCGCGAAGAGCTGCTGAAGTTTCAACTTCTCGAGCTTTCTACACTTGCAAGACATTGTGAAGCAAATCACGCAGGTATTATTTAGAAATAAAACATACACAATTGAAAGTCAGTGTCGTTACGCATAAATGGAACGCGGCGGAGATTTTTCGCGGACCAGTCAGACAAAATCTTGCGATTTCAAACAAACAATTCATATCCACCGCTTTGTCAACAAGTTTCCAAATAAAAACAGAGTGGATGTGTGTTCTGCTGCTGGAACAGCGAGACAGAACAAATAAAGATATCGATCGCAGAGAATGTCGAGAAATGTCGAAGCCGTTACAAAATGATTCATTGCTCACAGTGAAATCATATGAAAAATTCAGTAATTTTGTCAGACTTCCTGAACGTTGATATTTTTATAGAAATCCCATAAAAAATCTGCCCGTTTCCTTTAAATTCTGCTCTGACACGATGTTGAACCAATAAAAATAAAATTAAAGAACTCTGCGCATCTATTCATTTTCATTGTAGGAAGGTTTTATTTTCAAAGAAATAGACTTCCTGAAGGTGCTCTCAAAGCGCTTTTTAAAAATAAAAAGATTCCTCGCATGAAGTCCTGCATAAGCGAACCAAACTGCTGTGAATCGTTTGATTGACAATATGGGTGAAGTTCGATCCAGCAAAAAAGTACTTATTGTTTTCCAGCATATATTTCAATTTCAATGTATTTATTTCAATTTTCATTGAGAATTGCATAACTTCAACAGTTTTTTCAAGGAACTAACCACTGCATTTACAGTAGCATAATACTGTACTAGCTATACAGTACTGCGATTACAGAACTCGAGTAAATCCGGATTGAGAAAAGATCTTAGAGTGACATCTAGTGCTCATCAAACCAAACGTGCACACAATCATGCGGAAAATGCACGCAAGTGACGTTCGAAAATCGGGGAAAGTTCATTTTTAATCTTCGTATTCCTCGTGCTAAAGATGTACCGTACAATATATTGTACTGTATACATATGTATGGAAAGTTTCATCATAATTTCAAATGTGACTGGAGGAAATAATTATTGCTTGTGTACCTTCATTTTAAATTTTGTTCGACTCCGAAGACAGCAATGCATGGTGCCTATATATGATCTCGCCATTTCTTTTATTGCATTATGAATGTTTAATGGCGGGACATCACTAAAAATAGCCGAACAATATTCGCAACCCAGCATTCGAAATTGCATGTTTTGGCTGGCTCCGTTACCGCATTCAGCTCACTGTCAAACATCCGGCTGCGCAAAAACGTGTAAATCCTCTGATTGAACCCCGGTGAAACCCCGTGTTTTTCCATCTCCGGAAATCCCTCCGAACAGTCGCGTGCCACAGGAAAGAAATATGCAAAAAAGAAGAAAAAAAGAATTCGAGCTGAGTTGAGCCCAAGCCGGAAATTGCAAACCCCCGGTGGCAATTGCGACGCGTTTCTGCGCGTACCAAAAAAAAAAAAAAAAAAAAAAAAAGGGAC